GTACGTATTTAATGAAATTTCATTTTAATTTCATCAATACATAAAAATTGTTAAATATTGTACACTTTGAGTGCTTCAATTTAAGTTTGTGCTAACATTTAATTTATATCTATATTATTTAAAAAGTATTGACAGCAAAATTTGCAACTGGTTTATGTTTTGATCATTTATGCTTAAAGAACTGAGCATTAATGCATCGAACTAGATATATATATATATATATATATATATATATATATATATATATATATATATATATATATATATATATATATATATATTCTTTATTACATATTAACAATGTAACACAGATAATCCAGAGATCAATGTGGGCAAAAGTGGTCTTATCTCTAGAAGAGATCTCTTCCAGCCAACCTGTGGAAGGGAGTAATAGTGTTATATGACGGGACTAAAAGAGTGCAATTGATTTAAGATAAACTTATAAATAATTATACACTTGAATAAGATAAAAAAGCCACATATAATGATAAATATACACTAACTTACATATTATACATACATATATATATATATATATATATATATATATATATATATACATACATATTAAAATATAAATATAATCGTATGCATTTGGAATACATAAAAATAGTTAATCTGATTATAAAATTTATGAACATATGTATGTAGGTAACATAATATAAATAATAAATATATGAAATGTATATAAAACATAATTTGCTTAAGAAACAATAATGAATTTCAAATTATGTGCTTATAGTACGAGTATAATCACATCACACTTAAATTATAAATGTGAAACTTGTGACTGATTGTGTTTAAATTAGTGTATATTGTGTGTGTTTGTGTTTGTTACTTCTCTTCTGTTCTTATATTTTTCTTATTACATGAACAGAGTCATGGGAGGAAAGTAGTAATAAAAAGTTCACACTGACCCATTTTGAAGCATATGCCAAACCGAAAAATCATTTTGGCGGTAATTACAGTGAAAGCGAGTGAGACAGTGTTGGCACATTACAGTATTGACATATTTTCCTTTTTGCATCAACGCTTACACTCTTTGTTTGATTTGATTTGAAAGAACGAGATACAATTTTTGTAGTTTTTTTTTTGTGGATGCTACTCGTATAATACAGATACAGATTTTCGGAATTCAGGTTGGATGAAAATTATAAAATTTCAGATAAAATATATTGATTGTAGAATAAAATATACTTTTAAATTGTATACTTGTAAGGGTAAACTAAAATTAAATTATTTTGAAGTCGGTAAATCTTTATAGTTAAAAATAATAATTATCATAACGTTTTGTTTCATTTAATTTTGTGTTTAATTCTCTATTTGTAAATGGTCCTTATGATTTTATAAAAATGTATTCAGTTTTTAAGCTTTCCTTGTTTACTGTCTTATTATTAGGTTTTTTAGATATATGTGAGTATGGATGTTTGTTACTCTTTCACGCCAGAACGGCTGAACGGATCTGGATGAAATTTCGCACAGAGATAGATTATAGTCTGGAATAACTCATAGACAGACACTTTTTATCAAGGAAAAATATACGGTTTCCGATGGATAGATTTGTTTGGTTTATCTAGATGCGAACCCGAGCGAAGCGAGAGTGAGCCGCTATTGGCATATAAATATGTTATCGTCAAAAATCCCAATTTCAAATATGAATTATTTCAATAAAGAAAAACACATTTTCGAACAAAAAAATATTTTTTCTTAACATCTTATGATATAAAATTCAAATAAAATACCAACTATAAAAACTACATAATATAGAATTTTAATTAGTTTTGTCTCATTCAAAATCGAAAAGTTTCTGAAAGTTAGTCGTTTCAATATTCGGACTCTTTCTATTGACGAGCTCTACTATATCGCCTGTCGTCATTACTAAGAACTCTAACAAGCGAACTTTCAGCAAAATTAATAAACTTTACCTTCGCACTTCTATTATTATTCTATTTGATCGGTAAATATTTCCTAACCGACTTCAAATAAGCAAGGTGAATTTATGATGACACGTTTGGCTCAGTTTGTAGTGACCCTACTTGCTGCGCCAGCGGTCGCGGGCTCGAGTCCCGCTGGGGGCATTCGTTTGTGTGATGAGCATGAATGTTTGTACTTCAGTCATGGGTGTTTATATTTATAATATGTATGTATTTAAAGTTATATAATATGTATAATGTATCAACTATCTGGTATCCATAAAAAAAGTTCGGTCTCGTAGCTTACCATGGAACTAGATGGCGCTGTGTGTTAATGTCCTGACATGTTTATTATTATTATTATTACATTATTGTAAGATATCTTAGAAAAAGCCAGCATCATGTGTTAAAACATTTATATTTTAAATAGATTTAGTTACAATTTATTAGAAAACATTCAAAACGATTACTTATTTCCTTTTTCCAGTTAAAAATCAAGAATAGCATCCACCCATGTCGACTCCTCGACAACCAATGCCCCTTTTTCTTTTTCTAATCTTTCCATTTTTATTTGTATTTTATTCTTATTTCTTTTTTTTTTTCGGCCTGCTCATTCTCGTGATTTTTAACTGGCTGATTTTTAAAGGTACCTGTAATTTGTGCATTCGCGTCGTTAATGTGGTGAGCATAATCAATTAATTACTATTATATTTTTCATTAAAATAGCGAAACCTTACACTATTATAAATGCAATTTGTAAGTGAAATAGTGACTTACTCTCGATTCGCTTGATCGTATCTAGCTGTTTTTTTACGATTTGATATAAAGACATCGACTTTTACATATACGTATAAATTTTAATTTTCATATTCTTCGATAACTAAATTACACTTCGTCGGTATAAAGCCGTAATGGGCGTTGTAAATTTTTGATAAATTCGGAATTAAAATGGTATCAAAATCGTAAATTAACATAAAATTTATCTGTATTGGATGGTAACGTTGAGTAACAATCTCAGCATTCAATCTATACATTTAATAAAATTGTAACCAAGCCAAATCTGTACATTAAATATTTTTTGGAAAATCTTATTGAAATAAACATTATTATCGATACAGAGACCGAATCTATCGTTTTTAGAATTTTTGTCTGTCTGTTACCGCATCACGGAAAAACCGCTGGAGTGATTTTGATAAAATTTGGTATGGTGATAGATGGTTATCCGGGTCAACATATAGAATACTTTTTACCGCGGGAAAATATCTTATTTCTGAGAAAAAATACAAAAACTACAATGTAAGAGCATACCAATATGTAAAACCTAAGAATTTGGTTTTTTGTCATCTGAACGCGGGCGGAACCGCGGGCAATGCTAGTCATATATATAAGTACCCTTTTCACCTCTGTTTGTCAACCGACGTTCTTTTCTTTGTTTAGTAATTATTAGTAATTCTATACATATGTTTTCTTTAAATGTTCAATAACTATTATGAGTGAATTTCGACCACTGGGCGAACACTAGTTTATATAAACACCCTCACACGTCATGTAAATATGTAGGATTAAAAACTTAAAAATAAAAAATAAAAACCGACTTTAAAAAACACTAAAAAGTAAAAAATAACTGATTGGTAGTTTTCATTGACTATAGATACGTAATCCGATATTTTCGGACCAATCTGGAAGTACACTTTCAAACAAAAAAAAATTGTGCAAAACGGTTAATAAATGATGGAGTTCTGAGGTAACAAACAAAAAAAATACAGCTGAATTGACACTCTCCTCCTTTTTGCAGAAGTCTGTTGAAAATGATATAGCATGGGAAGTCCTTTGAGAGTTAATAGTTTGGAAAAGTAACAAACATAAACATTCACTCGCTTTCTCATGAAATCCCACGTTTATTAGTTTGGTTTAATTAATTTCATTATTCTATAGTCTTTTATATATATATAATATAATTCTGAGTCGAATCTGTACATTAAATATTTTTTGGAAAATCTTATTGAAATAGTCATAATTATCGATACAGAGGCCGAATCTATAGTTTTTATAATTTTCGTTTGTCTGTCTATCTGTCTGGAAACGCGTCACGAGAAAACCACTGGACAGATTTTGATGAAATTTGATATTATGATAGCTGGTTATTCGGGTCAATATATAGGATCTTTTTACTGCGGGAAAATATCTAATCTCTAAGAAATCTATTATTATTTATGTTGGATGTGGTGCCGAGGTCGGCCCTAGCTACGTCGACCAGTTTTGGTCCATTGTAGCTCAAGAAATCTATACTAAAGGTTAAAACGTAACGAGCGAAGGTGAGTCGCTAGTACTAAATAAATTTTTATATGAAAATCTCAAACAAAACTATAGAAAGAGTCTTTAAGTTTATATAAAAAAGCTCTTTCTCTGCTTAAAAAGCCTTATTCAGACAATTACAAATATTATGAAAATAAAATTTATTATGATTAGGCCGTTCTCAAGCGATGCAACTTACCAATGAACAGCATTAATTTCATTTTCAATTATAATATATTTGTATAATTATAAATCAAACTAATTTTGTACACTCGGGTACGTCTCTAGGAACGTTTTAATTATTTTGAGCGGAACCCTGATTCTTTTTTTTAAATAAAAGTAGCCTTAATTACTCCTCGTAACATCAGCCATCTGCCAATGAAAATCCCTTCAAAATTAGTCCCACTGTTTTACAGATTAGCCGGAACAAACAGATAGATAGACAAAATTTAAAAAAAGTATTTCACTTATAAGTACCGCATATAATTTTATATGTATTTAATAATAAGCTGTTATATTGACGACAAACAGACACTTCAAATTTATTTTTCTATACAGATTTACAATATTGTCAGATATTTGTTACATGATATACCTAATAGAATAATTCATAGAATATTATATTCTTTCAATATTGTAATGAAAGAAACCTTCACCATATTGAAAAACTCGAAAAATCCTTTTCAAAATCCAACGTACATAGAATTTTAGCCACAATCGCTTTTGAAATAGCAACTAAAATGTAACGTACAATGTAATTACTATGTTCTAATACGTATTGTTTGTTCGCAGATGCTCTCCGAGTCTACAATACCATTGTAGGAACCCATGCGAGGGAAAATGGTAGCAAAACGTAAGTAAAATACGACTTTAATCCATTGTATTAGAGATCAATATCGCTTGTAAAAATTCGGAAAATCGCAGCCCATTCAAAAAATGTTGCGCTATTTCAATTTGAACCTTATCTTAAAAGCTTGAGAGTTATTTTGCCTTAATTTAAGCTTTCACGAAATTTAACCCAATTCAACAAAAGGAACTTATTGTATGTGCAATCGAATTTGAACCTTTTTGTAAAAGCACAAGGTGCACTTTCGTAATAAATATACAGTAGTTTCGATATTATAATGAGACTGAAACAGAATAGAAGCTGCATGTAAAAGATTTTGCTCGATTTTTAAATGAAATGTTTACTTTTATGTCGCATGGTATCGTTGTTCAAGTATGTTAGGTTTAACAAATGTCATATCTAAAAGGTTTGTTAACATTGCACGACGACACGTTTGGCTCAGTTTGTAGTAACCCTATTTGTGCCAGCGGTCGCGGGTTCGAGTCCTGCTGGAGACATTTATTTGTGTGATGAGTACGAATGTTTGTATTCCAGTCATGGGTGCCTATATTTATAAAATGAATGTATTTAAAGTTATAAATGTGTTGTTTATCAATTATCTGATATCCATAACACAAACCCTGCAGCTTTCCATGGAACTAGATGGTACTGTGTGTTAATATCCCAACATGTTTATTTTATTTATTTATCTATTGCTTAACGTAAGGATATTATGTGTAAGAGTATTTATATATACACGACCTATCATCGCTTGAATAAATAAAGATATGCAAAAAAGTAGTATATAAAATAGGTTATCCAACGAGATCAATATAATAAGTTCAATTATGTATCAAGGAATTAAAAGCTAACTTTGGAGGTGAAAACGAATCAAAGCCCCATCGCGAATGTGCTATTAATAGTTATTGAAGAGTTTCATTATCCGCGTCCTGGATCAATCATATCAGCTTGAAGGTATCGAGATAATGCATTATCACCTGAATTTTACATTTTTTCAGTAGATGTGACTACTAGAAGTAGGTTAAAATCGATACACAACATTTCATTGCATAATTAGTACATGTAAAGCTAATAGGAACATTATAACAAGTAGCCTATGTCACTTTCCGGTATATGTATTTTATATGTTAATTTATGATGATGGTGATGTCCTCCCAAACGATTTCTGCCACAGCGGCTAATCTCACTAAGACTAGCCAACTGCGCAGGAGATACTATAATGCACAAGTGTACGTACGCGCAGACACAAGCGCACTATCTATTCCTGTCACTCTCAAATGGGACGATAATTCGACATGAACACTTGACCAGTGAGAGATCAAGTGCAGGACCGACTGTTTAACGCGCTCTCCGAAGCACGGGAGTGAAAAATCACCGAGTTCCCAACATCGAGTCGCTAGTCGGACTTTCTTAAGAAATAACTAATCTTTGTCCGATCCGGGACTCGAACCCAAGACATCCAAGACACCGGGGCAATTAAATTATACTACAGTTACATTCTTCATGCTTTTTCTAGTTTACAGTAAAGTTGTTCCAATATTCCGTTAAAAAACACCTGTATCAAAATGCTTTTTATAATAAGCTCATATTATTATTTTGGTAAAATATTCTCAAAGCCTATCGATAAACAAGAAATCCAGATCCTTTGTGACAACGAATAGAATATAGAAGCTCTAAGACAGGCTTAACAACTGGTGAGCTTTTCTCTAGGGCACTTTCTTACTATATGGAGGTATTATATCTACATAATATACTTCTATTTGAAAGCAAACACGTTTTATTATAGTGATTTGTTTAAGTTATGCCATTATAACACAATTTCTCGATAAACTTAAATTGGGTTTTGATAATTTTAAAACAAGCTTATTTATTTATGTTAATAACATTAATTATTACACAAACACTAATTTTGATATGATATCAAATTAACTATTGTAAAAAACAAATATTCTTATCTACTCCTAAGATTTATTAAGTGACTAGTGACCTACCCTCACTTTTTGAGATTGTTGGAGGGCTGGAGAGTGACATAGGCTACTTTTTACTGTGGGAAATTATCTCAATCCCACGGGAAAACACGTTATATTACAATCCAAAAAAATATTTTTGATCACAATTACTTGAAATTTGGTATTAATGCTCTTCAATACAGTTAAATGAATATACGTGTTTTTAAGTGAAACTTTGTATGAAACCTACCTTTTTAGATTTTTTTGTTGTTTTAGCGCGATCGAAGCCGCGGGTTCTGCTATTTTATATTATAAATATACATATATTGTAATGACCTACCTCTAATAAAGCAAGTTTACAAAGCATTTATTTCTGCTACATAATATTGAAAAATACAAAGAAACTAACATTATAAGCCGCTTAAAGTGAAACATATGTTGCCCAACTATGTGGAACAACCCTCTGTGTACGAGAGGATAGTACGTAAGCCGATTGGAAAAACTTACAGACTCCGTCGGCTAATAGGATTTAGTACAAAGATGTGATTCCTCTCAGATACTTGTTTTTCCTCTGATAATACTTTTTAAACCTATTTCATTTAGTTATTTGATATGTTGATGTATTTAATACTAGCGACTCACCATCACTTCGCTCGGGTTCGTCCCTAGCTTGATTGGGGAATTAATTATCCTTAATTAATTTTAACTTTTTAAATTATACATAGAAGTATTATATGGTTTTAATAATTAACACTATATTTTATATTTTTCTTTATGGTTATAAATATAATAATGGCAACACTAAATATAAAAATAAGGGCTCAAAATGTATTCATGTTACTTAATAACAATATATTTTTTTTTGTTTCAGACTCTACTATATGGACAAATTACTTCAAAAAGGTACGTTATTAAATCTGACTACGTAACAAATTAAATCAATTTTTTTATAATAGCTAGTGGCTCACCCTCGCTTCTCTTGGGATTGTCCCTAGTACATTTTAACGGTTAGTATGGAATAGATAGACTATATATTATATTACGTACTGCTCTGCTCCCTTTGGTAGTAGCAAGCTTCCTTAATAAATGGGCTATCTAATGCAAAAAGAATTTTTCATATCAGATTGGTAGTTCCTGTGATTAGTACGTTCAAACAAACAAACTCTGTCGCTTTATAATATTTTAATATAGATTTACATAAACTATGTTTTTAAGAAAAATTTATAATAATAATACCGACTTACCCTCGCCTTCCTTGGGTGCTTTTCTAAGAGCCTTTTGTATTCATAATATTATATACGAGCAATGTTACCTATGGGCGAAATTCATTACTAATTACAGCATAAAGAAATGGTATCGACTTCAATATTGTTTTTATTGTTGGTTAATGTCCCAAGATATTTACCCATTTATTTATTTAACATCCCATTGAAAACTGTCCAGGATCTCCGTACTAAAGTTGTATACGAGTAAATGAACATATTATTCTTAGAATCGCCTAATACGAGCATGACTACAATTCACTCAGCATTTTTACATTTAATTGAAAAAATATTTTTGTTTCAATTTTACTATTTCCATTAATGTATAGATAAAAAACAAATTCTATCAATAGTACGAAATATAATACTCGGTATGCCACAGTAAATAGCAATGTAGGGAATTTTTCATTACTGTTCAGAGTACGAACAAAATTGGAAGGCAAATCATCAGCAATGCTCTGTATTGGTTTTCCCCTCGTTATGTAAATTAAAAATTTTTAGAAAATTCAAAGTAATATAATAAAAAAGTTGAAATTTCTGACGCTTTTATTCGAATTTTACTTGCAAAATGATTTCTTAATAACTAATCATGTTAATGGAAAGATTTAGATTGAATTGATTGATTGAACTCTATATATAAAAATTAACGTTTGTTTTTTTGTTCATAAATAAAATGGGAACCAATAAAACTTTTTTAAAGACAAAACTGTATTGTGTGTAATGTCTGAGAGTTGGAGAGTCCATGTGTCGGAGTGTCGGAGTGTCGGAGTGTCAGAGTGTCCCGTGTCGGGGTGTCTGAAAGTCAAAAGTTATAAATTTTTCTTTACAATAAAAAAATCTATTCCTATATCTAAAATTAAAAACAAGAATTTTTAAAGCAATTTACTTTCTCTTTTCTCAGTTTAATTTCTACTACCAAAGATTTTCTTTAATTTACGTTCATCCCTTAAACTTAAAACCTCACTAAGTCGGTTAATTTTCTCCGGAGAAAAAAAAGTAATGAAACCTTTTCTATGTAAAATTTTAAGCACTACACATTTTTTTAACTTTTTTGTCTAATTTTTACCGTTTTCGAGTAATTGCGAGAAAATACTTTTGACAATTTTTTTCAACCCTTTCCGGGGGGTTAAAGACACGAAAACCATTACACATTGTTTTTGTATCATTAAAACTACATTATATTAAGAATGCAAAGTTGAGTGCCAAAATTTTGATTTCAGACCTCATTTGACTGGACTTTGATGAAATTTGGTATGATGATATCTGGTTATCTGGGTCAACATTTAGGATACTTTTTACTGCGGGAACATATCTCATCTCTGAGCAATCTATACAAAACATTAAAACGTAAGTATGTATTATAATATAATAAGATCCAAGAAACCAATACGCAAGAGCAATTTCTATATTTTAAGACCCAGGTACGTTTGAACTGAATAATTAATTCACTCTATCTTAATAATCCGGCTATATATAATTGTAGGTTAATATCTAGGCTATTCTCAATGCGGCATGGTCTCTGCTACCTGTTAAGGTAATACATAAGATAAGCTTAGTTAGGTCATGCTTATGCATCGAGATAAGAAAAGCAGGTTAATAAATTATTATGGAGCTGAAATATTATTCTGATGTACCGTCTGTATATCAGTTGTACGGTTAAATAATGGGGTTGTAGATGACATGGCCTTTGTTCACTATTGGCTCGAAAACTATGGCAATCGTGGTCGTGGGAGAGCCTAAGGTAGATGTCTCAAAATTTAGTCTCTCCCGTTCATGATTGCTGTAAAGCATTCGAAACGTCGGGAACTAAAAATAAAAAAAAAACTGCGAAAAATATAAAATACGAGAAGATAACCAAAATTCGTGTTTTGTTTGTTGTGTCAAACAGTAGTATCATAGAGATTGTACCAAATTTTTAATTTATATTTAACCCGAAAAAAGTTATGTAATATATTTCCATTCTTTCTTTTTCGACATGAAATATTCCTCATAATAAATATGTTTAAAAATCATCAACATCATCTTTTCTTAATATTTCTCCGTTATTAATGCCGTAACTGTGAGCAAACACACAAGTCACTACTATAGGTGGTCAACAAATATATTGATTTATTTTCAATATATTTGTCAATCTATCAATCTCTTTTTACTTAAAAAACTATTCCTGAAATTGAATTCAAAAAACATTCAGTCTGCAAATGAAATCCATCAAACGAAATGTGGGCGACTTCTAAAAAGAAAAAAGTATGTATATTCCAAGCTATATTCCAATTATTACACTAGCAAATGCAGTGGTAGCCCAGTGGTAACGCGCTCGCTTTGGGAAACCGAGTCAAGTGGGTTCGAATCCCGGGTCTCGCACTTCTGATATTTTCATGTGCGAATCATTTCTAACACGAATACCACCTGTCTTATGGTGAAGGAAAACATCGTGAGGAAGCGTGTACTTTGAACAATTGAACTAAATAACAAATTTAGAAAAGTCTATCTTAGTTCTAGAAGATAAGATAGGAACAGAAATACCTGTACCAATGTCTTTACTATTGAAGAGTGAATTGAAGGCGAAATAGGGGACCTCAAAGACTTTTGAAGACCAAGTGCATCGAATACTCAAATAATAGCAAAATAAAAGTACAAAGACCCTCTCATTCTTCATACATGCTCGATGCATGTATGAAGAATGATATCAACGGAAGAAGCTAAAGAGGTATGTGGAGATCCTAGCGCTTGGCACTATGTTATCACTGCCCACCTTGCCATCGATATAGTGTGCAGTTATGTATGTATGTACGTAATTTATTTCAGTTATACTAATATTTAAGTACAAAGATTGTATAGAACCAAAGGCAGTAGCTATTATACTAGATAAATTTAGCAATTTTTCATAAAATTCCTGCAGTATTTTTGATATTTATGAATATTTATATGCATACAGAAGTACAAAAATGTCAATTTGTTTAAATATTAGAAAAAATAGTATTTCAAAGACAAAAAAAACTAGATAGTCGCCTATACGTGCAAGACTAATAACGAAATGAAAAGTCGAGAGCAGATACGTAACAAACAAAACGTCATTTGACAAAATATGAACTCCTTCGGAAATTCCTATAATATTCTTAAAGTGGAATACCTTCCATAACCAACAGATTGCAAAGATTTTTATTGTGAAATAAAAAAAATAATCTTTAAATTTATAATTGGCGAAGATCACGCAAACAAAAAAACACACCTCCTTCTTTTGAAGTCCGTCAACAAGCCATTCACATGTCTTTACGTCATTAGCAGAATATTACTAATTATTTTGAGCTATATCTCTTATCGTGATAATCTAACGCTTATAGTTTAAGTCGTGAATTTATGTTGAACTGCATAAATCCGGATTTAGCCGCTTCGGGCCGGATTTCGGCCAAAACCAGCGCACAGCCAATCAGTGAGCTTACCCTAGTTAGGTGGATTTGCATTTTAATATAACATTGTTTTGTCCATATTTAAATGTGATTTCTATCTATCCTGAGTAATGATGTTAGAAACGTGAACGCGTGAACGCGTGTGTGTTTGTTTGTTTTTCTTTGACGCGAAAAGAGAACGTAGAAACAATAAGCTCTTTTAAAAAATATTTGTTTACAATGTTTGATTATTGTATGGTCAAATGGCACCCGTAAAATATCTTGTAATATTAAATGAGCATTTCTTGTATACATATATGAATTAATTCCGTGTATCTCGGAAACGGATTTTACGATTTGGAACAAATTTTGTATTTAGATTAGGTTTTTCTTTTTCTGAAAAAAAATATATATAAATATGTATTCACAAAATTATATATATATATATAACTTTGTGAATACATAGGTATGATGAGTTATTGTGGGTTGTATTATAACGTGTTTTAAAAAGTAGCATATGTCACTCTCCAGCTCCCAACTATCTCAACGGACGGGAAAGAAGGACAAACAAACAACTAACACACTTTCACATTTATATATAATATAAGAATAGATTTATTTTGTACTAGATTACAGCTTGTATAAAAGTCTTAAACTATTTTTTTTATATTTCATACATATTATGTTTTGCTGTAATACATAATTTTTGTTCAATTTCCATTTATGCTTGTTTTTAATTCAATTTTTCAAGTACTTTTGCCCGAACATTTTTAATTTCATATCCATCAGAAAACTTATTACTCATTTATGAACCCAAATTTAATTCCAAATTATTGGAATTGTGCTCGCATTTCGATGTCATAAAGCTCTTATTTTATACTATCTATTTACCTTGGCTTCACTCAGGCATCAATAGTGAATAGGTATTATATCTATACATATAATAAAATTCAGAGTCGAATCTGTACATTAATTTTTTTTTTGGAAAATCTTATTGAAATAGTCATTATTATCGATACAGAAGCCGAATCTATAGTTTTTAGAATTTTTGTCTGTCTGTCTGTCTGAGAATGCATCACGTGAAAGTTGGTGTGATGATAGCTGGTCATCCGGATATATAGGATACTTTTTACTGCGGAAAAATATCTCATCTCTGAGAAATTTATACTAAATGTTAAAACGTACCAAGAAAACCCGAACCGAACCTGAGCGGAGCGAGGGTGAGTCGCTATTATTTTATATAATATTCATTTCT